TGCCTTTTTTTCACTCAATAAGTGAGTCATAATTTAAGTCATGTTTAGGTGCTTTTGTCTTTTTAAAGCTGAGAACTGACTTTCACATTTTCCGAAGGCTTTTACACAAACAACAAGGAGGCCGGAATAAGAATAATTACACAGAGATTACTACTGACCGCTGCTATTGGATCTGTATTGCTGTTTTGTTTATCTCATTTTCAGTTTTTCAGAAAACAAATAACAAATTAGTCTCATTAACAACCTGTGTAACCAAAGATTGATGTCACACAAATACTACTACTACACATCACTGAGTCATGATGCTGCACTCTTCCTTCCCTGCAAACTTCAACATCATCTCCCTCGTTAAACCTGGGCACAGAGCGAAGATAAAAACTGAACCGCAGACGGACCTGTTTATGTTGTTTCTACAAAGAATAGAGGTTGGGTCACTTACAAAGTGAGAAATATAAAGTGGATTATTGCAGAGAAGCCATCGAATGCCCTGCGACAGACTGGCAACCTGTCCAGCTAACAGCCCGCAATCCTGAATTGGATAAGCAGAAGGGAATGGATGGATTACATTAAATAAGTCTTATTACTCTGTTAAGCATTGGTGATACTAAATAGGCTGTAGGTGTGAACGCTTGTCGACCTATCCAGAATATACCCCACCTTTTGACCTATGACAGCTGGAATAGGCTCTCCCAGAACCCTGAATTAGATAACCTGAAAAACCGGATGGATGGATGTATTGACATTCTTTCTACCAGGAAAGTTTGTAAATTTGTGTTTTGTTGTACTCTAATCAATAAAGATATTGTAGAAAATAATTCTTGAACTAAAAAGTTCTCTTAATAGATTCTAAGAGGATGTCTAGGCGATGTTGAAGGTGTATCTTGAAACTGAGTCATGGTTCAGTTTGGAACTATTTTTCCAAACAGGACCAGACTTAAAGAAAAGACGGCGAGCCCACACGTATTAAACAGGTTCCTTGCCATAAATACCTGCACTACAGATACACTTCCACATACAGCCTTTCTCTGCTGTAAATAGATTTTCGAAGGGAGATTAATCCACATCTTAACATTTAATCTTAGCTGGGAAAAGATAATGCCCAGGTTATTGCTCATCTTCAGGACGCAGAAGCAGAACCAAGTAACAGACGAAAGGCAGGAAGTATTCTAGAGATTTCTTCTTTCCAGCATTACTGAGGTTTTGTGTTAAATTCTGGGTTGGTGAATGTGGCGTGGCATAATATAGAGCATATATCTTCAGTTATATCATCATGACTGCAGATATCAGCAGGAAAATGAAAGTAAATGTATTTTATAGCCTAATCGATCCATACGCACATCATGATGCACCTTATTGGAGTAAGTGGCTTACTACAGAGTGTGCACTGTTGTCAGCACTTTAAACTGATTAAACCATGGCATGCTCCCCTTTTTTCATAGGCACTCTTTTTTTCTTTTTCTTTTCTTTTAAATAAACATGCACAGTAAGCAATGAGTGTCTGAGATCTCAGTTTATCGATTCATCCTATAGGAGGCCGTGAAAGAGTGAACAAGGGGTGATTACAGGCAGTGATGGCACAGCGAGGTTGTGGTGGCATGTCTTTGTGGTACAAGCCTGCGAGTGCGCATGTGCACACACACACACACACACAGCAGTGACGGGAATGGGAGTAGTGTTATTACAACAACAACAGGGAAAAGACCCAGTGATGGTTGCCATGGTAAATATGGCCTCCTGTCACCTGCTACCACTCTTCCTCCTCATCCTCTTCCCTCGTTTTTGTTCTCTCTGCTATTTGTACCTTTTTCCTTTTTCTCACCACATCTCCTGTTTCCTCTTAATTCTCATTTTGCCCTTCCTTCCTTCCTTCCTTCCTTCCTTCGTTTCTTCCTTTATTCGTTTGTTCTCCCTCCCCCTCTTCTCAGTCCCTCCCCCATCCTTCCCTTCATGCCACAGTGGCCTTCCTACAGGCTCCAGACAGGCCTTGAACGACAAGCAGAACAAGCGACCTTCAGTGCATCATGGCATGTGTAGCGGGCAGCGCCTGGGACAGCAGCGAGACACACCAGCACAGCAGTCCAGAATCACAGGTGAAAGGTGAGTTATAGGTGATTTGATATAACTGCTGTAGTGCCTTTGTGCAACATTAATCACTATCATCATAAATCCCTCTAAATGTGACCATTTATCACAATCTTCTGTTCACACTGAATACCAGAGTCACAGTTTTTCCAACAAAAGCCTGGCTATAAGCTGATAATTCATGTGTTCATTCAGTTTCCATTGTTGTAACACACTGCTTTGCTTTTATTCACATCCAAGTACCCAAGATAATCAGTAACAGTTATCACTGAGGTTCACTGGTAATCTTATAGCATATAACTGTGACTATGTCTGTCTCACTATATATGACCATAAGCGCCTAAAAGAACAAACAAGTAAGTTTGTCACAGTGTCCATGTACTGACAATAGCCATAATATTTAAACATGAAGTACCAATAATAAACATGCTATACAACACAAAGCAATGTGTTATTTTTTATGTGTGTAATGTGTTTAATTCAGTAGATAATGAATTGCTGCTGAACAAGATTATTGGTTATGGACCTTACAATGTTAACCGAATTATAATCCACCTTGTAAGTCAAACTATGTCTATGCAGATGATCGTAAATCTGCTTTTTTTTTAGCTAACAAAGGGATCCCACAGGGTTTTGGGATAAATTTTGTTTTTTATTTTATTCGTTTTATTCTACTTTTTATAAATGACTTTGGTAGAGACAATACTGCAAAACTACATCTTTATGCTGATGATACTGTCATTTACCTACATACTCCCTCTGTAAGACAGACAGTGCAACCTCAGACTGCAACTTCACCCATTTCAGTCTGTATATGTAAACTATAAAGTTTTTGTCTTCTGAAAAACTCACCAACAAGGTTTTGATGGTTTATAGTACTGTTACATCAAAGAGTTCATGCAAACACATGTTTGGATACGTACAGATGACAAGTTCAATGTAGCTGAGAGTGAAGATTGGTTTTACTTTGTTTATATGAAAAATCTTGTGATCGACAATGGTGATACAATGCATATACACATACACACCTTTTCAGCTTTGAGTCTTGATTCAGTGCAACTCTACACTTTATTACAGGCACAAACTCTGACTCACAGCTGCTTTCTTTGTGATTTGATGTGCTAGCCATCACTAACCACTGTTGGATAACAGCACTGGTATTTTCAGTCTATTTTCAGTTAACCTTTGCACCTCTCTCTGTCCCAGAACCAGCTGCACACCTCTAAGTGCTTGCTTTGGGGAATTCTAAGAAATCTGATAAACAAAATTTTCACACCATTAAGCTTAGAAATGGAATCTAAAATTAAACATGCTCATGTGGAAAACCAAGGACATCCTGTGATTGAGTAACTTGTATTCATATTCAGAACCACCCTTAGCAGCAAAGTCATATAGAAAACTATTTCATCACTCTTACACCATTTACAGTTTCTCTGAACATTACACGGTCTTACTTTGGAGAGAATTTTTTGGGATGTCTGCTTGTTGGAAGATTTTGGCATTATGTTAACACACAAATGAGTGCTCCAGACCAGCAAACTGCCCAAACCTCTGCTTTTATAGTGATGCTCACACTTACTGACAATCAGTTAATCAAATGTAGAAAAACTGTGAATTTTCTTGTGAAAACTTTTTACCTTTTTTTTTTTCAAAGGACTGTATCTATTATTGAATTTAAAAGCATCATAAGGAATGCAGGATAGGAAATGTGGATGATTTTCTTGAGAGGCCACTAGCATGTTTTGTTGTGGGTAATTGTATACTGTATACATAATAATGCTGTGGCTCCTGTATTTTATGTTGTAGTTGTTAAGTTTTTAATATGTTTTGAGTTTATGACTTCTACCTTGTTCAAGTCTCCCTTGAAAACGTCAGTCTCAGTGGGGCTTTCTGATTAAATTATGGTAAATACACAACTAATATTTAAAGTAATTGTGCAAATGTGTGTCTTGTTTTTGTTTTTTTTGTTTTGGACAGTTATAATTACACTCTTACCACCTCTGTGTACTTGTTTTTTTCAGTACAATTAATTTCTCGAAACAATATAACAAAACAACGACAATAATTAAAATGATGTGTGAACTTCATTATTATTCATTATTTTTTCCATCGCTTTCAATTTTATTCTGAATTATTTTGATCACTAAAACCTTGAAGTGAAACTCTCACATTGTTGAAGCTCTGATGTCTACTTTTATTCATGATTGTGCATAATTGCACAACTAGAAACAATGATGTAACAGTCTGTGTCGAGATAAGGGGACTATAACAATGAACAATGAGCTTCTTCTCAGTTGTTCTTTTCTGGTATATTATAAATGAAATTACTGAGGATTAACATTGAAAGCAGCTGTTATGTGAAGCTCTGTTAACCCTGTTGTAACTCCCTCCACACTTGGAGCCATTAAACTTGCAGCCTTACATCACCCCAACAGTGTGGTGAACTTGCCTCATACATAAATAATGGTAACATGTCCTAAAACATGAAGCCTGGTTGTATTTATGGCCCGGATGTTTTTCTTTTTTCTTACAGGTACACATGTAAAAATAAACAACCCACGTGAAAGGCTGTTTGAGAGCATGTAACTGGCAGAGAGGTGAACTATTTTAGCCCACACGGTGAAATTTCTCTGGCTGGCAAATGACCTCACCGGAATAAATAAACGCACCAATGGTCAAACAGCGTGCAGCCACTTTTGTATGTGCAATTAAAAAACGTACAAACAAACACCATCCATGCTCCATTTCAGCACCAGTGTTGTTTCGCCCGCCTCTGCTGATCAGCACCTGGAGACACAACTGCACCCCGGAGCTTGTGTGAACCCGGTGAACCGGAACCAATAATGGTGTCAGCACTACTTGGAGAATAGTAGGGGTCTGGGTGTTTCTGAGTTTTAGTGTGTTTGTGGTCGTGTCACCTGTCAGGCTGTCGTAGCACTCGATCTCGGTGCTCTCCACGGCTCTCCTCTGCTCCTCGGTCAGCTTGGCCGCGGCTTGGCTGAGCAGGTTGACCTCGGAGCCCGTAGTGCCGTCCACGACATGAACCCCTTTGAGCTGCAGCAGCGCCCGGTGGTACTTGCCTATCGCTTCCCGGAACTTCTTCTCCTTGTAGCAGCGATGGCCCTCCGCCTTGAACTCGATGGCTTTCTGGATCTTCGAGTCCATCTCCATTTCAGCTGAGCCGGCTCGATACCCCCCTCCTCCGTCTCCTCCGGCGGCCGCTGCCAGGCTCCGACCGCCGGTCTCCGGGTAGCTTTTCAGGCTCTTTATCTGGTGCTGTTTGGCTTCCATGTCTCTCAGTGAAAGCGGCTGGAGCGGGCCATGGTGCTCGGACACGAAGGTGTGCTTTGTTGGGGAGGACCGGAGCAGCGTGCTGTGCATAAAGGATGCAGGACGGAGCGGCGAAGGAGGCAGGGCAGGCGGCACCGGAGACACGACGAGCCGAGGGAAAAATGGGCTTTCAGGCGCGTCTGCCGTGTGCAGCACTTACAGAAAAAAACGAGAAATAACCCGGAGAACGTCAGCAGATACAGAAAAAAGACGCATTACATCACCAGAGCTGGCAGAAACATCCTGAATCTCTCCTAGCGTCGACCGCAAACCATCCCTCGCTGCTGGAGCTCTCGCGGAAGGATGCTCGGGTGGATTTGTATGGTAGCAACCTCAGAGGCACGCGCAGCTTCAGCACCACAGATAGCGCACACACGACAGCCCCTACCGCGCAGCATTGTGGGAAAAAAAGAGAAGTCGTGAGGCGTTGCTGCAGTTCGGATTTTACATGGAGAAAAATGGAGAAGAAAGAAAAAAGAGAAAATGTGGAAATATTCAGACATAATCGATTATTTCTTAGTGTGATGTGGCACATTAAAATCAACCATAACAACTGCATGAACCGCAAAGTAGATGCTTTTATCAGTCAGTAATAAACAACAACTTAGTTGCATGTTTATTTATTTTAAACACTATTCGGCAAAAGATTTAAACAGATAGCCTTATAAACTATCTACTCTTAGGCCCGAGGCTCGTTCTTCAAGGGTCAATTAATAATACGATTGGAAGTGATCAGTCCTCACAATAAAATCCAGCTTTTACTATAACTATTGTTCCTGTAATCGTTTCAGGACCAAGCGGAGCGCCTGATGACTTCAGCTGATAAGGTTTTCAAGGAGATGGAGACGAACGGCAGGAGGCTGAGGGAGAAGGAGGGAGAGAGCGACCTCAAGGGGACAAAGTGTCAATTACACTTAGTTTGATGTGACGTGTGGTTAACCTAGAAGTCAGCAGTCAGCCTCAGAGGCATGTCTGCAAGAGTAAGTAAAAAAAAAAAACCCCACACACCATCTTCTCCACAGAGCAGGAGTAAGCATCCACAGCACACCCTGTAGCGCTCCTCGAACTCCTGCTTATTGGAAAGAAGGGCAGCACCTGAGGCACGACAGCTCTCACGGTTGCCAAACAATCAAGTTTATTACAGTTAACTAAAGATGAAATGAGTGTTCTGTTTGTGTTGTAATAACTGACAAACAATTCACACTTCACTTTTATTAAACCAAGACGCTCACTTTTATGTAGTTTCACTTCACGAGGTACATCTATTCAATGACTCATTAGTACAAATATCTAATCAGTGAATCAGGTAGCAGCAACTCATAGCATTTAGGCATGTAGACATGGTCCAGATGACCTGCTGAAGTTCAAGCTGAGCATCAGAATGAGGAAAAAAGGTCTGACAACAACAACCACGCCACATTCAACTGACTTTGAACGTGGCGTTGTTGCTATCAGAAGTCAGAGGAAAATAGCCAGGCTACTTTTTAGACCAGGAAACGTTTCCTAGTCTAAGGAGTTGTAATTTTTGCTGCGACATTCCGACGGTAGAGTGAGAATTTCGATCCTTCCTGCCAGGTATTGATGGTTCAGGCTGCTGCCGGTGTAATGGTGTGGGGGTTATTTGTTTTGGCACATTTTGTTCTCCTTAGTACCAACTGAGCATAATTTAATGCTGCAACCTACTTGAGTATTCTAGCTGACCATGTCCATCCCTTTATAACCACAGTGTACCATCTTCTGATGGCTGCTTGTCACATACTGACAGCTCCAGTTAAAGGCAATTTTATATCAAACATTTTTAACAAGACACGGTGTGCAGTATCCTCCATGTATCAGTGTCTAAAACATTCATCTGTGTTTTTTCCACAGTGTCACAGCAGATCACACTTTCATTGGCTGCCTGTAAATCTTTACAAGTGGTTAGAAGTTATTTGATTGATAGTCTAAACTACCAGAACGAACAACAATGAAGTAAATAAAAATCAGGAGAGAAAATTGCTGCTAAAGATTTAAAATGAAGAAGTCTAATATTTATCTTGCTCTAATTTTAAATGTTATATGCTCAACTTCACCATTTTTAATATGTAAAATATGTATGTATGGATCAGTGGAAACATCATCGGTTTCCCAAACAGACCAGCAGCTGGCTAATCAGCTTATATTCAGTGAAGTTGAACCCTTTTCTTGCTGTATGTCCTTTTGAGGAGCGGATGCTTACTTTGATGAAAACACCTTCAATAACTGAGACCACATCCTCGAAAACGATGAGCGAAGTGAGATGAGGATGTATGAACTGGTGCTGCGGTAGATCCCCATGTTCTAACGAGAAGTGAACGAAGGAAGGGAGGAGGAGAGAAGAGGAGAAGAGAGGGAAAAGGGGGGAGCATGGAAATAAGAAAGAGAAACCCACACATCTGACACCTTTTCATCATTTAATTTTTTTTTTCCAAGCACATTTTTCCATCATACCTTGAAAAAGAAAACATGACATTTCACGGTGTGTTTTCCAGATATTAATTCTTTAAACACAGGGAAAGAAATCCTAAGCATTTTAAAATATTTACAATGTAACGAAGCTCTGGCATGAAGTCTGACAGACAAAAACTGTACATCAGGAGTAATGAGCAACACTGGTTTGAGTGGACTACATCGAGCTGGGCCCGATGGCATCGCTGAATTCCTTTTGTAAGGATACGTCATGATACAAGAACGTCCACATAGAAAAATATGTGTGTGTGAAGTCTAACAAATCTATACATTGCATAAAAACAACAGAAATATTCTAGTGAGTCGGCTTTCAAGTAGGTGGTTATAGAAAACGTTCAGTACTACGATAGAAAAGGTGCCTTTAGTTCGAAGGTGTCAACTTCTACTCCACAAAGCACAGAAGAGGAGGAGGAGGTGCATTGCTTTCCAAAGATTCAAGTGTTCATCGAGGTTGTTTTGTTTAATAGTTTGAATTTTTTCCTTTCCCCTCTCACAAGTTCGGGGTCTGAGTTCAGAAGCTTGTTATCGACACTTTTCATACTTTGAAAAGGAGGTAATTCTTAGGTGAAGGTTAGAAGATTAACTTTAACTTATCCTCTCCTTACTAGTCTGACTGCTGTCCTGTGTATTCAACTTAAAAATAAAAAAAAAAATAAAACAAAAATCTGTACATTTTACATGTTCAGGCAAATATCAATAAAACACTTACATAATTATTCTTGGAGAAACAACATTATCTACAGCCTCACTATTCATTCAGGGGCATTCAGGGAGTGTAGACAGCAGCAGCATCCTCGTGTGGGGTGTGGTGGGGGTAGCGTATGTCAAGCTCATGCTTTAAGCTAACAAATGCAGACCATAAATCCTTAAATAATAGGTTTGGACACTAAACGGTAAACATTTTTCCAATGGCAGCAAGAATAATGAGTTTAATGTAAATGATAATCTTTGTCATTTATCCAAACACAAAAACAAAACAAAAAATATTGCAGCAAGATAAATCCTAAAAGTTGGCGATACAAACTTTAAAAAGAGTGTAAAGAAATAGTATTTTTTGGGTGGTGGTGGGGTGAGTGTGTTAGGTTCTCTTACTGCCCAGTCTCTTGAAAACACTGATAGCTTTAACGTCCATCTGGGCCCCCGCGGACTCTCCTCCCATTCCAGCTCCTCCGGTGCTGCTGCTCACCTTGGAGCTTGCTACAGTCGTCCTCTCCTGGGCTCGGGATCTGGTGCTGGTCACTCTGTTGTCCTGTGTGTCAGCGGGTGTCTGCGACACACTGGTGTTTGAGTGTGTTGCGGGGGGCTTGCCCAGTCTCTGAAGAACACTAATCTTAGCAGGGGGGAGACCATTCGGGGAAGGTGAGGAGGAGGTGGGTGTATCAGAGGGAGGTAGTTTGAATTTGCCGCCGAGGCGCCGCAGGGTGATGGGGGGCGCTTTTATCGCAGACTCTTTCTTCTGGAGAGAAGGGGGTTTCTTGAGGACGCCAGCATACTGGAGGACAGAGCCTTCTCCATCGCTGTCGTCCTCGTTTTCACCTGCGTTTCCAGCTCTCGGCTCGTCTGCAGCTTCTTCCCCTCTGTCGAGGCGGCTGAACACGCCGGTCGGCTGCAAAAATATGAGCGCTATGAGCACAGAACTCATCTTTAAGATGCAGAACGCTGTTAATGTACATCGACAGGTCTCACCTTGCTACCGCCTGTTGTCGTGTCCGCCTTCGATTCAGCTCCGAGTCTCGCAAACACAGACGTGCGTTTCAAAACTTCATGAAGAGAAGAGCAAATAAGCAAAATAAATATTTTTTTTCCAACAAAACTAATCAGCAAAAAAGTAAAGAAGCTCTGCAACATACAGATTACAGTGGAAGAGAGAAGGTGAAGAAATATTTGTCAGTACCACCGCTCTGTAGTTGTTCTTTAAAGTCTGTTAGTTTACCTTTGCTCAGTTTCTGTTATTCTGCCATGAATTTGTATTGAGCGTTGTTATAGTCGGTGTATGACTTATTCAATTGTGCAAAATGTAGCCTATGTGCTTCTGAATGTTTACACAAAAGATTAAAAATTACATGTTGGAAATTTTGACAGTATTCTCCATACATGTAATATGTTGAGAATTTTTGCTTTTATTTTGAAAACTCTAACTAAAGTCACACTGATTAGACTGAAACAAACATTTGATTTGTTTTTTCTTACCTACAACAATGTAAATGTAAATTTTAACAGTATCTGTATCTGCCTAGAAAAATATTTTTGATCAACTCCTGTTGTTTTAAGTCAGCTAAAAAAAACCTCTTTTACTTTAATTGCTAACATGACAAACCAGTTAAAGCTGGGATAGGCAGTAAACACTGGCAAACATCCCAAGTTAACTTAAGTGGTGTGAAAGGAAACAATAGACTTCTTCTGTTTTCAGACTCTGAAGCCTTTCTTTGAAAGGGCGTTCCTGTTGGCTGTGTGGCCATATCGCTTCAGGTGGTGGAAAGCTTGATTCAGTGGTGGTAAATCCCACAGGAAGCATTTGCAACAACTGTAAACGCCGCAAAGTAACTGAACCAGACAAAAAAAGCTGCCTCAAAAAAGGCATTGAAACGTGTGCCAACACTGACCTGGTCTTGTCACAGAAAGGAGTTACACCCAATTGCTAATAATTACTCCATCTGGAGTACACCATTCTTCTAAGCTGCAAACTTGATTTTCCGGTGAGTTCAATGGGCTGCGGTGGTTTGTTAGATTGTGTCGGTACATTTATCATGAAAGCATGATTTTCACTGCAGCTTTTACAGGTATAAAAGTGACATTTCCTTCATAAATTTAGAGAAAATGTGTTGAAGCTGAATGACTGATCTGTAACACAATCCAAATGCAAGCTCATGCCAGGGAGGAAAAATCAGAAGAGCAA